TATTTTTAGTTGTCCAGCTACTTTCTTTCTATTTTTTAGTAGAGACAGAGTCTTGCTCTTGCTCAGGCTGGTCTCGAACTCCTGAGCTTAAATGATCTGCCTGCCTTGGCCTCCTAGAGTGCTAGGATTACAGGCGTGAGACACCATGCCTGGCCTAGAATAACTTTTTAAATACTTTGTGATCTGTTACTAAAGCTACCGAATCCTTCGAAATTATCTTAAAAATGATATGTTGTCTGACTTATAGATAACATTTAAATTTACCCCCTAGGTATGTGAGACAAGGATAATAGAGTAGTCTTACTGACCTCCAACATTCTGTTCAGAGAAGAAGTCAGAGAATATACTAGCCTAGAAATCCTAGTCCGTCTCAGTGGCAGCCTGTATGTTAGATCACTTGTGTGACTGTTAAAAAGGGACTCTAGAGTCTGTTAGCTAGCTGTTGGGTGACCCTAGAGGCCTTGAGCAAAAATATGAAAAGGGAAAATATCAAAGTGGGCTATACTATTAATAGTTAATTATAATGGAATTATAGTTGTCATTTTGTATGTTTTCTTGCAGGTTATCAGTTAAGCAAGTACGAAATTCAAGGTCTGAATATATAGGATTGCAAAATCAAATAAAAACGTAAGTGACTTTTAGAACTGGAAGGTGCCTTAGATATTAGTTTAGCTCTTGCATTTTATAGTTGAGGAAAAAGAGAGTCCCAGAAACATAAAATAATATATCTGTAGCCAGATTATGATAGGACTAGAGCATAGTTATAACTCCTAGTCCAGTTCTCCTTCTAATAAATTATTGCTTTGATCTTAAATTTTTTTTTTTGAGACAGGGTCTCACTCTGTTGTCCAGCCTAGAGTACAATGGCATCATCGTAGCTCACTGCAATATCAAACTCCTGGGTTCAAGCAATCCTCCTGCCTCAGCCTCCCAAGTAGCTGGGACTATAGACATGCACCACCATGCCCGGCTAACTTTTAAAGTTTTTGTAGAGATGGGGTCTCACTACATTGCCCAGGCTGGTCTTGAACTCCTGGGCTCAAGAAGTCCTTCCTCCTCAGCCTCCCAAAGTATTAGGATTACAGGCATGAGCCACCATTCCTGCCCTTAAATTTTATTTTTGTTTTTAATAGGAATGATTGTTAGTGAGTGGGTTTGCAGACAAATTGGCTCTTGGATGTTAAATTACCATGTAATTTTCTTATGATTAATTAGATTATTTAATTTTTACTAGCATGGGACCCTGTGATGACCAAAGTGATATACAAGAGAAAATTCAAAAGGTGAGACAACTTTTGGACAGAAAAATTTAATCTTCTTGCTTTTGTGATACACTGTGTTTCTCAGTGTGACTCTTACAGTTTATTTGCCATTTCTTTTTGTAGTACTATTACTTTCCCCCCCATTCATTATAGGTTATCTATATCTATATCTATAGATATTAACAGGGTGTTTCTAAGATACTTGAATATAATAGAAAAATTAGCTTATAATTTATAAGATTAAGTATACACAAAAATGGGTTTTTTTAATCTTAATTTTTTTTTATTTCAGCATATTATGGGGGTACAGATGTTTAGGTTACGTATGTTGCCCTTGTCCTCCCGCCCCACCAAGTCCGAGCTTCAAGGGTGTCCATCCCCTAGATGGCGCACATCGTACTCTTTGTGTATGCATATACCCGTCCCCTCCCCCCCAAAATGGTCTTAAATATGATTAATTTAAAGTTCTTCATGAAAAGTTCTCCTTGATTGTAACTTAATCAGTGGCATCACTTTGAATAAAATATATTAACTGAAAGGAGATAGTAAGTATGGAAGAAAAATGAGGAATCAAATTGAGGCTAATTTGAGAGAGGAATCTGGCAAATGTAAATAATCTGAGACCTCTAGAGATTGGTTTTGATGTGAGAGAGGAGTGTTTTCTTAGGCTTTTTTTTGTTTGGGTGAAATCTTTCTCAAGCTGTTTGCTGTGATTCTATCATCACCAAGCTGCTTTGAGTATTAATTTGGCTTCCCAGGCACCTTTGCACTGGAAAAGGTGAGTGTCCTTTTTAGGAAATATTTTCATTCAATGAATATTTTTTATTTATTTTATTTTGTTTTGTTTATTTATTTATTTTTAATTTCAGCATATTATGAGGATCATTCAATGAATGTTTATTGATCACTTGCTATGTGCCAGGCATCTTCTAGGTAGTAGGGCTATAGCAGTGAAGAAAATATGCAAAGTCAATTATTTCATGGAGCTTTCAATTTAGTGAATGGGAACATTCCTGTTATTGAATGCAGTATCTCTGATTGTCAGTTTAATAGGTTGGTATGAAACCTATTAAAGTTTTCACAACAGTCTCTCCTTAGTTTGGTTAATATTCATTTTCCTTGAGTCCAGTCAACTTTGAGCCTCTGACAAGATAAAATTCTAGACTTGACAAATCTGAGAACCAGATCCTAGATGATTGTAAACTCATCAAGGAAATGCCATCTGTGAGATCTCTAGACTGCGAGCCAATGAGTCTTCCTTTGAGGACAACTTTACCTTGCCATGCAACACTTTGATTAGAGATATTTAGTATCTTATTCATATCATAGGGCGACACAGACAGTAACGTGTATGTAATTATCATGAATCCCACTTCCACTTTATAAATTCTATTGAAGCATAACATACATATAAAAAGTACACAAATCGTAAGTGTATAGCTTGACAGATTTTCACAAAGTAAACACACCCATGTAACCAATATCCAGTTTAAGGGATAGAATATTAACCAACACTCCAGAATTCTCTTTGAATCTGTTTTCATTTACAGCTGTTTTCATTTACAATGAAACCACTATCCTCACTTCTTACACTAAAGATTAGTTTTGCCTGTTTTTGAACTTTATGTAATTGAGAGTATGTAACATATGTTTTGTATCTGGCTTCTGTGTCTCAACATTGTTTGTGATATTTATCCATGCTATTGTGTATAGTTTTAGTATATTCTCGTTGCTGTGTAGTGTTCTATTTTATGAATATAGTGCCAATATACTTTTTTAACTCTAGATGGACATTTGGGTTGTTTTCACTTTTTGATTATTACAAATAGCAATTCTATGGATATTTTTATACGTGAATTTTAATGACCATAGGTTAGTGTATGCTTAGGAATTTTGCTTTTAAAAAAGCATGTTTTTTCACATTTTAACTTTTCTGAAACCTGAATGAGTTAAAATTGAGGCATAGT